TTAGCTATATCATGCCTTATACAGCTAAATCCTGGAATGACAAAGTCTAATTGAGGTCGTAACTAGGTTTCTTGCACACATTTTACCTCAGGGACTACCTCCATATCATATATATATTTCTTGAATGATTGACCATTAGCTATGAGGCTTCTCATCCTGATTTTCATTTTCCCCAGCTCCATTTATAGCTAGCATTGCATGTATCTGGTCTGCTTTAATATCTTTCATGTCAAGGAATTTTCCAGCTGCCTCCACAATGGCTTTGATTCTATCACTTTTCTTTTTTAACTGTAATGCAACATTTACAGTATGGCATATGAATACCACAAAATTCACCTTTTTCACTCCTAGAACATCATCATCCTCTTTACTCTTGGTGGCGCTGTGGGGTTGGATTTGAAGAATACTTTTTGGTGTGTTCCTGCCATTTGTATTCTAATGCTCTGCTCCATTCCACTAGGGGTCTTATTGATTGTTACTGTTCCCCTTACTTTCTTTATTGCTTCTGCATATGAAACTTTGTTTGTAATCTTCCTACCGCAGGAAGAAAGCACAGAGTAAGCTGAAAGGTCTTTAAAATAAAAGCCCTAAGTTTATAATACTGTCTGTCTGACTGTCTGACTCCTGTCTGTCTGACTCACCTGTCTGTCTGACTCTGTCTGACTCACCTGTCTGTCTCTCCCACAGTCCTCCCCATGTCCTCCCCAAGTAGTGAGCAGGACTCACCTGTTCCGAAGGTAACCTCAGAGGAACCTGTCTGTCTCTTTCCGGTCCGGGTCTCCCGCCCCGCTGACAAGCACTATGGAAGGTCCTACCGCAGGAAGAAAGCACAGAGTAAGCTGAAAGGTCTTCAAAATAAAAGCCCTACGTTTATAATACTGTCTGTCTGTCTGTCTGTCTGACTGTCTGACTGTCTGACTCCTGTCTGTCTGACTCACCTGTCTGTCTGACTCACCTGTCTGTCTCTCCCACAGTCCTCCCCATGTCCTCCCCAAGTAGTGAGCAGGACTCACCTGTTCCGAAGGTAACCTCAGAGGAACCTGTCTGTCTCTCTCCGGTCCAGGTCTCCCGCCCCGCTGATAAGCACTATGGAAGGTCCTACCGCAGGAAGAAAGCACAGAGTAAGCTGAAAGGTCTTCAAAATAAAAGCCCTAAGTTTATAATACTGTCTGTCTGTCTGTCTGTCTGACTGTCTAACTCCTGTCTGTCTGACTCACCTGTCTGTCTGACTCACCTGTCTGTCTGACTCTGTCTGACTCACCTGTCTGTCTCTCTGTTACGCTCCATATTGGGCTAGGGGAACCAAAATGGAAGCGACACGACCAGATTGGAATTGGTAATAATCATAAATGGGTTTATTATCAAGCAAGGTGAACAAAAATGGCAGGCAAGCAGCCTGAACAAACAAAAAGACCAAAAGGGCACCGGTTGACAATAACCGAACAAAAGGAGAACTCAAAAGGAGTCTAACGGATCATACAGAGTAATAGTTAAATAAAAGAGAAACAAAACCTCACGTTAACGTGGTACATGTAATTGAAAGGGCTGTGCAAAAACCACAGCTGCTGGTGATCGACAGGTGCTAATCACCTGGGTCCAACCAATACTCATACAAGTGCTGATCTACAGGCGCTAAGCCAACCTGGGTCTAAGCCATACACACACACACCCTATACTAAACACAAAACACTACGACACGCTGCTAATCAGTGTACTAAACACAGAAACTCTTCTCAACACACTGCTAGGCAGTCTAACGAGACACAGAATATGGCAATAACAGAATGAGAGGCTTGAGGCGTCTGTCCATCAATACAAGAGCCTCCCGAATGATGTCTTGCCTCGGACCGTTGTACGCCTCCCCCGGGTGACGTGGCCGAAGCGGGCGTGGGACTTAGATGAACGTCAGTCCAATCACCGCGGAGGTTTGCGAAGGGCAGGAACGGTACTTACGGGAGAAATAACAGACAGGATGATCAACTCCATCCGCATCCTCCTGCAGTAAAACAGCACCGGCCCCCATTGCACTGGCATCCACCTCGAGTGTAAAGGACTTAACAAGATCGGGAGCAGCAAGCACAGAAGCGTGACTTAAGAGGGTTTTTACACACTCAAAGGCATGTTGGCACTCAGGGGTCCAAACCTTCCACCTTGGGACTTATCAAATTGGTGAGGGGTTGGGCTACAGTGGAAAATTGCGGCAGAAACTGTGGTAATAGCCTGCCATACCGAGAAAACGGCGGAGGTCACTCCTGGTGATGGGCACCGCACATTCAGCCACCGCAGTAACCTTAGCTTCCACTGGTCGGACTTGGCCTTGCCCAACCTGCTTCCCTAAATAGGTGACAGTAGCTTTCCCAAACTCACATTTGGCCAGATTTAACGTAAGCGAGCCGGGTGAATACCTGCTCCAGGATCTCCATGTGCATCTCCCACGTGGGCGTGTACACAATAAGATCATCCAGATACGCGTTACAATTACTTATTCCTGATAAGACAGTATTCACCAATCTCTGGAACGTAGCAGGAGCATTACACATACCAAACGCCATGACTGTGTACTGCAGAAAACAGTCAGGTGTAGCAAAAGCGGAGATTTTTGAGGCACGGTCCTTTAAAGGTACCTGCCAGTAACCTTTAAGCAGATCCAACTTGCTAACATACTTCGCAGACCCTAAATTATCAATACAATCCTCCATTCGCGGCAACGGGTAGCAGTCGGACACCGTAACAGCATTCACTTTACGGTAATCAGTGATAAACCGCGGAGAACCATCCGATTTAGCCTCTACCAGGCACGGGGAGCACCACGGGCTAGAGCTCTCTGTAGCTAAACCATTATTTACAAGATACTCGGCCTCGTGTTTCATAAGTGCGCGTTTGGTGGGATTTGCGCGGTATGGATGTTGTTTAATTGGCCTCGCACCTTTTACATCAATGTCATGTGTTATCACATTGGTTCGTATCGGGATATCATGGAAAAGGCTCGGGAAACGGGCTACTAACTGAGTTATGTCATGCTGCTGCCTCTCCTGCAGATGACCTAATGTAGTCGGCAGTGTCTCTATCATTTCCGGGTTACATAACCAGGCACCCGGCTGGTGATGTGAACGCATCACCAAACCATCGTCAGAAGGCCCGGAACTATCTGTAACTATTAATGCGGAAGCAGCAACTCTTTGCTTAGCCAAGCCGGCCGGCGGACTATCAGTGGCAGTTCCATGAATAATAACGCTTCAACATGTTCACATGACAGACGCGCGTTTTACGTCGTCTCTCTGGAGTACCAATCACATAATCTGTGTCACTAAGACAATCACGGATTTTGTACGGGCCGAGGAATTTAGCGGAAAGCGCAGCGCCGGGGATAGGCAAGAGTGCGAGGACCTTGTCACCTATCTCAAAGTGCCTAGGGACAGCGGCACGGTCATAAGTACGCTTCATGACAGCTTGGGAAGCGGATAGAGACTCTCTGGCGAGTGAATTTGCCCGGTGCAAACGCTCACGAAACTGACTAACGTAATCCAATACGTTCTTATCTGGAGGAGAACCAGCTGAGAGAAACTCATCGTGTAAGATTTTGAGGGGACCGTGGGGCGTGTGGCCGAAGACAAGCTCCGCGGGGCTGAATCCTAACGATTCCTGAATAGCTTCACGCGCTGCGAACAATACGAAGGGGATTCCCTCATCTCAATTTTTCTCCGTCTCCATACAATACTTTCGCAGCATACTTTTTAGTGTCTGATGCCACCGTTCCAACGCACCCTGCGACTCTGGGTGGTACGCACTAGATAGGACATGTTTCACCTGCAGTGTTTGTAGGACCTGTTTGAACAACTTGGATTTAAAATGTGTCCCTTGGTCACTCTGAATTACACGCGGGATTCCAAAGGTGTAAAATAACTTTGTCAAGGCCTTAACTACAGCGGCGGAAGTAATGCTACGCAGCGGAATAGCTTCAGGGAAACGAGTAGACGTGCACATAATGGTGAGCAAATACTATTGACCCGTTTTTGTACGAGGTAGAGGTCCAACACAATCTATTAACACCCTATCGAATGGCACACCTATAGCAGGTATAGGATGTAATGGAGCCTGAGCAATTTTCTGATTAGGCTTACCGACAACCTGACACACATGACAGCAACGGCAAAAGCTAGAGACGTCCTTCTTTAAACCTGGCCAAAAGAAATGTTTGAGAATGATTTGGTAAGTTTTAGTCACGCCCAAGTGTACCGACCATTGGCTCTCATGCGCTACAGATAGTACATGTTGACGTTATGGCGCCGGCACGACTACCTGATGCACTACACTCCAGTCAGCTTCAGCAGTAGCAGTGAGGGACCATTGGCGCACTAATATCTCCTTATCCAACACATAAGCTACCTTCTCACCCCTTGCTTTGTTATTACTCACCACCTGCTCGAAACACCTCGCCAGCGTCGGATCCGCCCTCTGCGCAGCGAGTAAACGCTCTCGGGTTACCGGGAGTGTGGAACCGTCAACAGCTAGGCTGGCAGGTTGCGCTGGCGCAGCGGTCACGGCAGGGAAAGCGGAAACCGCCACTGCTGGCTTTTCCTCCAGTATTTTATCATCTGTGAACAATGTCCCAAACATAGTATCATTTAAGGACACATCCGAGTCACTCTTACGCGCCTGCGCGCGAGTGACAGCACAAATGGGGGAAATGTGGGCATTTGTCACCTCAGGCAACACATTCTGAGGGGAATCCAATATTTCAAGTGCAGGAGTTACCTTACCTCCTGCAATGTAATTTCCCATTAAGAGAACTATACCCCGTATGGGTAATGCTGGGCACACAGCAACAGGGAAAAATCCAGTAATTAGCTTAGATTGTATGTGTACATTGTGTACGGGACGGGGAACATAACCCATTTCAATGCCACATAATATCAATCCATACCCACACGCTGATTGTTCGGAAAATGGCAGGGCAGATGCAACAATCACTGACTGTGAGCCTCCAGTGTCTCGTAGAATGCGGACGGGTCTCTGATCGTCTGACTCACCTGTTAATGATATCAATCCCTCAAACACAAAGGGCTTAAAACTGGGATCTATTTCCTCATCATTGTCAGATGGGGAAATACTGAGTGACTCGGTGTTAATTAAGCCAATGCCTTTCGGCCGGGTCATGTTTTGTGGCTGCTCCTTACACTTAAGAATCATGCAGTCAGCAATAACATGTCCAGGCTGATGACAATAGTGACATTCTCTCTCCTCTTTGCTCCTCGTAAATACTTTCGCTGGCTGACCAACAGGTGCACCCGGCATGCGGCGAGAGTTCTCAGCAACAGCAGGAGAAAACACCGATTTATGGATTAACACGTATTCGTCAGCTAGCACCGCAGCAGCAGAGAGAGAAGTTACTTTCTGTTCGTTTATGTACCCCACAATACGATCCGGTAAACCCCTCTTAAATTTCTCCATAAGGATTCATTCCTTCAAAGCAGAATACTCTGCAGCATTACACGAATCAATCCACTTAGTAAGTAACATCCCCTTCTCTGCAAACTCGACATGTGTTTGGTTAGAACCCTTCCTGTGATTCCTAAACTTCTGCCGGTAAGCTTCGGGGACTAACTCGTACACCCTAAGTATGGCCCCCTTCACCAAGTCGTAATCCATACTGTCCTCCAGCGAAAGAGCAGCAACCGCCTCCTGAGCTCTCCCGTGAATGTTAGACTGGATTAACAGAGCCCAGGCCTCAGCCGGCCACTGTAATGCCGCTGCAATGCGTTCGAATGCCCCAAAATACGCGTCCACTTCAGTCTCACGAAAAACCGGCACTGAAATATTCTTTCCTACGTTGAAAGCAGGTGGGTGAGAATGAAGGGAGGAACTTCCTCCGACATGGCCAAAAGCACCGGAGGCGCGCAGCTCGGAGTCTAGCTCCAGCTGACGTATCCGGACTTCCTTGTCCATTTCCAACTTTCGTAGCTCCAACTGTAACTGCCTGGCTTTCTCCCTGTCGTTAGCTTCCCACTGAAGCTGCCTGTCCTTAGCTTCCAACTGGAGCCGGGCGAGTCGGACCTTGAGTTTACTCCCCTCCCGGGAATCTGTACTACCAACAGGAGATGATGGACATTTGCGAGACGGCGTGAGCGGTGCCTCACACGACTCGCCCCCCTCACTGTCACTACCCCTTCCTTTAGCAAATGTAAACTCCGCCTCAGACCCCGGACGTAACAGGCCTTCAGTGAGAACATTGGACACTGGGAGCTCAGCTGGTACAGCCAGTACAAGTACCTCTCTTCTCACCATCTCATCCACTACCAATGCCTTCAACTCCTTTTTTAATAATTGCCGACTCACCACAAGACTGAAGTGCTGCGCTATTTCCATCAAATCGTCCTTAAGACACCGGTCCAGCTCCTCATAGGACGGCCAGACTAGGAACGACTCTAAGTTGAAAGACGCCATACTCAGCTAAATCTGCCCACTTTACCAATTTTGTTTTTAGCTATAAGAAACTCACTTATAATCCCAGGAATTAATTAAGATCCCGGACGAGAGCCCCCACATGTTACGCTCCCTATTGGGCTAGGGGAACCAAAAGGGAAGCGACACGACCAGATTGGAATTGGTAATAATCATAAATGGGTTTATTATCAAGCAAGGTGAACAAAAATGGCAAGCAAGCAGCCTGAACAAACAAAAAGACCAAAAGGGCACCGGTTGACAATAACCGAACAAAAGGAGAACTCAAAAGGAGTCTAACGGATCATACAGAGTAATAGTTAAATAAAAGAGAAACAAAACCTCACGTTAACGTGGTACATGTAATTGAAAGGGCTGTGCAAAAACCACAGCTGCTGGTGATCGACAGGTGCTAATCACCTGGGTCCAACCAATACTCATACAAGTGCTGATCTACAGGCGCTAAGCTAACCTGGGTCTAAGCCATACACACACACACCCTATACTAAACACAAAACACTACGACACGCTGCTAATCAGTGTACTAAACACATAAACTCTTCTCAACACACTGCTAGGCAGTCTAACGAGACACAGAATATGGCAATAACAGAATGAGAGGCTTGAGGCGTCTGTCCCACAATACAGAGCCTCCCGAATGATGTCCTTGCCCGGCCTTTGTACTCCTCCCCCAGGTGACGTGGCCAAAGCGGGCGGGGATTAGATGACGTCAGTCTAATCACTGCGGAGGTTGCGAGGGCGGGACGGCCAATAACAGCTGATGAACTGCACCGCTCATTCACATATACACACAAAACAGAGTTAACGGCACAAGGTAAACAGCGGCTGTAACACTCTCCCACAGTCCTCCCCATGTCCTCCCCAAGTAGTGAGCAGGACTTACCTGTTCCGAAGGTAACCTCAGAGGAACCTGTCTGTCTCTCTCCGGTCCAGGTCTCCCGCCCTGCTGACAAGCATTATGGAAGGTCCTACCGCAGGAAGAAAGCACAGAGTAAGCTGAAAGGTCTTCCAAATAAAAGCCCTAAGTTTATAATACTGTCTGTCTGTCTGACTGTCTGACTCCTGTCTGTCTGACTCACCTGTCTGTCTGACTCACCTGTCTGTCTGACTCTGTCTGACTCACCTGTCTGTCTCTCCCACAGTCCTCCCCATGTCCTCCCCAAGTAGTGAGCAGGACTCACCTGTTCCGAAGGTAACCTCAGAGGAACCTGTCTGTCTCTCTACGGTCCAGGTATCCCGCCCCGCTAACAAGCACCATGGAAAGACCTACCGCAGGAAGAAAGCAAAGAGCAAGAGCAAGCTGAAAGGCATATAATATAATACTGTCTGTCTGACTGCCTGACTCACCTGTCTGTCGGACTCACCTGTTTGTCTGACTCACTTGTCTGTATAATTCTGTCTGTCTGTCTGTCTCTCCCACAGTCCTCCCCATGTCCTCCCCAAGTAGTCTGGACTCACCTGTTCCGAAGGTAATGTGAGTGTGTGTTTATGTGTGTGTGTGTGTGTGTGTGTGTGTTTATATGTGTGTGTGTGTGTGTGTGTGTGTGTGTGTGTGTGTGTGTGTGTGTGTGTGTGTGTGGTGTGTGTGTAACCCCTCCTCTCTGATTCAGGTGAATCAGGCAGAGCTTCTGTTCGATCAGATCTTTCACTCCTCCCCCACACACTCCTCAGGTAAGTACATTATATACCTGTCTGTTGACTCATCAATAACCCCCCCCCCCCCCCCCAATTAAAACCACCTCAGAGGAACCTGTCTGTCTCTTAGGGTTACCTGAGGGGGCGGAGCTACAAATGTCTCAGGTGCAGAAATACATGTTTGGAGGAGACCTCTCTTCCATTCCAAAGGTAGGTTATATTTATATTAATGCTGTCAAAATTATCGCGTTAACGGCGGTAATGAATTTTTTGAATTAATTGCGTTAAAATATTTAACGCATTTAACGCATGTGCAGAATGGCCCGCCCCATACATCCCACCAGTGGCAGCGCCAGGGTATGGCTGAGGTAGGCTACACCCATACCAAGAAATGGCTTAGCCCCACCATGAAAAATGATGTTGAAGTAAGCTAAATAAAGTCCGCCAACTCGCGAGGAGTAAATTGCACAGACGGCCGTTAGTAAGATTGATTTCAGTAGAGACTTGTCTGGAAATGCCGAAGACCAGAAACGGTTTTGAAAACTTTTGTCACGTAGTGATCGTCTTCTCAATAGAACATCTTTGATAATGTCTTCTGGCCAATCAGAATCAAGATAACGGCGTGGTGTTGTTGCAGGAAGTCCCGACGGAGAATACTTTTGCTGTAGTACAGGGGTGCACATAACTGGTACGCAGGTTATGTGCGTAATCTGAAATGCGTACCGTCACTTGTGTCACAAAGCGCATTTGCGTACCGACGTACTTGTGAAGCTTTTCCAGAAGGCGGTTAGATCACCGGACGACAGAGTCGGTCTCTGTGTGCACAGACAGGGCTGCTGTTAACGTCGGTCTGTACAACGGAATTGTGCCAAAACTACGCCAACCGGCTGCGGAGGGAGACTCCCCCCCTTCACTGGAGAACTGCGCTAAAACAGCTGATCACAACGTTCACACTCTGTGGTCACGAAGTACTCCACTAGCCCCGTCCCCCGTCCCCCGTCCCCCCGTCGACTTTCCTGAAGTACTCCCCCATTGATAGAAATCAACACGTAATGAATTAAGACCCCACGGTTTGATGATTGATAGGTGTGTGGGCTGTCTTTCATATTGACATGCAGGAAAATGTTATAATAAACATACATACAGTATGTTAAATGGGTATATCCGCCTTCTTTCATTTATCTTTCCATTCCCACAACAATATACATAAAGAAATGCCATATTTTGGAAATAGTTCGAATGGTGATTAATCATGATTAATGAATTTTTAAGCTGTGATTAATCTGATTAAAAATTGTAATCGTTTGACAGCCCTAATTTATATAATTATTATATTAAAGGTACAGTTTTTACTGGTGGTCTACCTGTGTTTCAGGAAGGGTTCGGTTCTGGCAGGAAGAGGTCCGCTCTAGACTCAGGTAGTATTTATTATCTCACTCTGCTGATAGGTTAATGCTCACTCTTTAACATTTAAGATTATATTTCTGTTTCTGTCTGAAGGTTACCTGTCAGACCAAACTAAGGGCCCGCTGGGCAAAACCAGGAGGGAGGAGCCTGAGGCCAAGGGGGAGGAGCCTGTGTCAGAGGGAGAGGGGGTGGAGGGGGAAGAGCCTGTGTCAGAGGGGGAAGCACCTGAGTGGGAGGAGCCAGAGCCTAAGCGGGAGGAGCCAGAGACAGAGGGGGAAGAGCTGTGGGAGGAGCCAGAGACAGAGAGGGAGGAGCCTAACAGCCTGCAGACAGGTAGATATGTTATCATTTATTAACATGATGATGTTTGAATGATTCTTAAATCTGCTGTTCACCTGCTCCCAGAGTCCTCACCTGAGGGGGCGGGGCCTGTGGGGTGGGTGGAGCCAGGGTCTCACCTGACGTACAATATCACCGCTGCCTTCAACACCTTTAATTCTCAGCTGGATCACCACTTCACCGTCAGTGCCGACCCTAAAGGATTTTATTATCAACAAACAAATAAAGCACTTTAAAATATGAACTAACGATACGTTTCAGGGCTGCTGGAAGAACGTGGAGACAGAAATACTCCAGTCGTTAACAAAATCTCAACAACACGTCTCCTCCCCGCTGACCGCTGTCCATCAACACAGGTAACACATCTGTACAAGTACCAGCCACTTTATTACATTACATTACATTGCATTTAGCTGACGCTTTTATCCAAAGCGACTTACAATAAGTACATTCGACCAGGAAGACACAACCTTGAAGAAAACAGAATCATATAGGTACATCAGGTTTCATAGAGCCAAAACATTTCAAGTGCTACTCAACTGGCTTTAGATAAGCCAGTCCTTTATTAGTATATAAGTGCTTCGTTAATAGTTATAACGCTCGAAGTGGAGTCGAAAGAGATGAGTTTTCAGTCTGCGCCGGAAGATGTGCAAGCTATCTGCTGTCCTGATGTCAATGGGGAGCTCATTCCACCATCTTGGAGCCAGGATAGCAAACCCACGTGTTTTTGCCGATGGGAACTTGGGTCCCCCTCGCAGCGAGGGCGCAGCCAGTCGTTTGGCTGATGCAGAGCGTAGTGCACGCGCTGGGTTGTACGGTTTAACCATGGCCTGGATGTACGAAGGGCCAGATCCATTCGCAGCATGGTAAGCAAGTACCAGTGTCTTGAAGTGGATTCTAGCAGTTACCGGAAGCCAGTGAAGGGAGCGGAGGAGCGGAGTGGTGTGGGAAAATTTAGGAAGGTTGAAGACCAGACGAGCCGCTGCATTCTGGATGAGCTGCAGAGGTCGGATGGCACATGCAGGTAGACCAGCCAGGGGGGAGTTGCAGTAGTCTAGACGTGAGATGACGAGAGCCTGGACCAGAACCTGCGTCGCTTTTTGTGTCAGCTGGGGACGTATCTTCCTGATGTTGTAAAGCAGTGTATCTGCAGCAACGGGTTGTGGCAGCTATGTTTGCAGTGAAGGACAGGTTGTTATCTAGGGTCACACCCAGATTCCTTGCAGTCTGAGTCGGGGAAACAACTGAGGTGCCGATGTTGATTGTTAGGTCAAGAGTGGGACAATCTTTTCCCGGAAGGAAGAGCAGCTCAGTCTTGTCAAGGTTGAGCTTGAGGTGATGAGCAGACATCCACTGAGAGATGTCAGCTAGACAAGCAGAGATGCGTGCGACGACCTGGGTCTCTGAGCGGGGAAAGGACAGAATTAATTGGGTGTCGTCAGCGTAGCAGTGGTATGAAAAACCATGCGGGCTAATGACTGATCCGATTGAGTTTGTGTACAGGGAGAAGAGGAGAGGACCAAGAACGGAGCTCTGAGGGACCCCTGTAGTTAATTGACAAGGGTGGGACTCAGACCCCCTCCAAGTCACCCTGTAGGTACGGTTTTTCAGATATGAGGTGAGGAGGGAAAGTGCAGAGCCTGAAACTCCAAGTTTTTGGAGAGTGCGAAGGAGGATCTGATGATTCACCGTGTCGAATGCAGCAGACCGGTCCAACAGGATGATGACAGAGGAGAGGGATGCAGTTTTGGCAGTGTGCAGTTCCTCCGTGACAGCAATGAGAGCAGTTTCTGTGGAGTGACCTGCCTTGAAACCAGACTGGTGCGGATCCAGAAGGTTATTCTGATGGATATAACAGGAGAGTTGTTTAAAGACAGCGCGTTCAAGTGATTTAGACAGGAACGGGAGGAGAGAGACAGGCCTGTAGTTTATAACATCAGACGGGTTGAGAGTAGGTTTCTTTAGGAGAGGGTTTACTCTTGCCTCCTTGAGACTGTTTGGAAAGTGACCAGAAGTTAGAGAAGTGTTGATTAAATGGGTGAGAAACGGTAGAATATCAGGAGCGATAGTCTGAAGGAGGTTTGAAGGGATAGGGTCCAGAGGACAGGTGGTAGGGCGGGCAGAGGTAATGAGGGTAAGAACCTCACTTGGAGAGAGAGGGGAAAAGGAGGTTAGTGTGTTGGTGGAAGGAGGGTCTGGTGACCCAGCGGTGAGTAAAGGTGAGTCAGAAAAAGAAGAGCGAATATCATCAACCTTTTTTTCAAAGTGGGTAACAAAGTCGCTTGACAGAAGTGAGGAGGGGGGGAGGGGCTTTTGGAGGGTCCAAGAGGGTGGAGAAGATGGAGAATAGTTTTTTAGGATTGGAATAGGAAGATTGGATCTTATCTTGAAAGAAAGTGCTTTTTGCCTGAGAGATCGAAGCAGAGAAAGAGGAGAGGAGAGCCTGAAAGGTTAGGAGGTCGTCACGGTGTTTGGATTTCCACCGTTTCCGCTCTGCTGCCCTAAGGACGGTTCTATTAGCACGCAGTGCATCATTTAGCCAGGGAGCAGGAGGGGACTGACGAGCCTGCCGAGATGTGAGAGGACAGAGAGAGTCCAGAGTGGATGAGAGAGTAGAGAGGAGAGTTTCTGCAGCAGAGTTTGAAGGCAGGAGTTGGAACGAGTCAGAGGAAGGGAGGGCTGAGAGCACCGACGAGGCAAAGGTAGAGGGGGAAAGGGAATGAAGGTTACGGCGGACAAGTGCAGGATGAGAAGAGATTAGTTTGTTATGTTTGGAAAGGGGTAGAGAGAATGAAATGAAGAAGTGATCGGATGTGTGGAGCGGGTTTACAGAGAGGTTAGAAGTAGCGCAGTTCCTTGAGAATATGAGATCAAGGACATTGCCAGCTTTATGAGTCGGTGGGGATGGAGACAGTGAGAAAGCAAAGGCGGTTAACAGGGATGTTAGTTCGTCTATCTTCCCTGTCTGGAGGTTGAAGTCTCCGAGAAGTACAGCGGGAGGGCCAGTTTCAGGGATGTGTGAGAGGAAATTATCTCATTCCTCCAAGAAGTCCCCCAAGGCGCCTGGTGGACGGTAGAGAACAACAATGGTTAACTGTATAGGATGGGTTACTGTGACGGCATGGAATTCAAAGGTGGAAGGAGCGAAGTTAGGTAGCTTGAAGAGGGAAAAGCTCCATTTGGGAGAGAGCAGGAGACCAGTGCCACCTCCTCTGCCAGTGGGTCTGGGTGTATGGGAGAAGGAATATGCAGTGGAGAGAGCTGCTGGGGTGGATGTGTTGGATGGAGTAATCCAGGTCTCAGTGAGAGCAAGGAAATCCAGAGACTGCAGGGAGGCGTAGCCAGAGATGAAGTCAGCCTTAGGAACAGCTGACTGGCAATTCCACAGGCCACCTGAAACTAGATGTTGGATCTCAGTGGAGCATGTGGGATAGATGAGAGCAGGCCGGTTATATCGATTAGGAGATACACGGGGCCAGTGATAATTGCGAGAAGACACATGAACAGGAATGGAGAAAATACACATGATTATAGCATGAGGGACTAGAAAACTAAAGAAAAGAGAAATAAGACACCAGGTCAATCAGAGTAGGATTTGCCTCCTCTTTGCCTCCCTCGTGACTCCCGTAGGACTCCAATGTCTTTGTCAGTCTTACTCCCGCAGGACTCCAATGTCTTTGTCAGTCTTACTCCCGCAGGACTCCAATGTCTTTGTCAGTCTTCGGCTGTCTGACGCTTAAGCTGACGCTCCAGGAAAGAGCTACCTAAAATGGACGCCTGATTGCTGAGTTCTCACAGCTGTAGGGCCACGCCCCTCTAATTAGTTAACTATCTACAGCTGATGGGCGACAATAGACTGGCCCTGCCTCTATTGTAATGCAGGCTTGAGTGCTGAGGCCTGTGCAGCAGGTTTTGCCTGAGTAGATCTGAGATTTAAAATCTCTCAAAAGCGCCGTATTAGCTACAATAACTACAGAACAATTATACAGAGTAGAATAAATGAAACAGAGAAGTCTAATTAAACAAGAATATAACTTACAGTGGTTGCTGCGTCAATAGGTAAAATCTTCACCCGGTCCAGATGCACACTGAGTTGATCAGATTTTAAATGCGGTATTTAAATGCTTTTTTAGGTGAAAGATGACTAAGTCACGCTGTTGTACTTCACGCAATCAATAGACTGGCCCTGCCTCTATTGTAATGCAGGCTTGAGTGCTGAGACCTGTGCAGCAGGTTTCGCCTGAGCAGATCTGAGATTTAAAATCTCTCAAAAGCGCCGTATTAGCTACAATAACTACAGAACAATTATACAGAGTAGAGTAAATGAAACAGAGAAGTCTAATTAAACAAGAATATAACTTACAGTGGTTGCTGCGTTAATAGGTAAAATCTTCACACCTGTCCGTCAGCACAAGTACCACCCACTTTATCACACCTGTCCGTCAGTACAAGTACCGCCCACCTTATCACACCTGTCTGTCAACACAAGTACCGCCCACTTTATCACACCTGTCCGTCAGCACAAGTACCGGCCACTTTATCGTGTGTTTGTGTGTGTTTATGTGTGTGTGTGTGTGTGTGTGTGTGTGTGTGTGTGCGTGTGTGTGTGCGTGTGTTTATGTGTGTGTGTGTGTATGTGTATGTGTATGTGTGTGTGTGTGTGTGTATGTGTGTGTGTGTGTGTGTGTGTGTGTGTGTGTGTGTGTGTGTGTGTGTGGTGTGTGTGTGTGTGTGTGTGTGTGTGTGTGTGTGTGTGTGTGTGTGTGTGTGTGTGTGTGTGTGTGTGTGTGTGTGTGTGTGTGTGTGTGTGTGTGTGTGTGTGTGTGTGTGTGTGTGTGTGTGTGTGTGTGTGTGTGTGTGTGTGTGTGTGTGTGTGTGTGTGTGTGTGTGTGTGTAGGTTGGTGTTGCTCCACAGGTTTCAGAGCAGTGTCACTGATCAGCTGAAGAGTCTCCATGATGATTCAAACCGTCTGACTTCCATCAACACACAGACCCTGGTACACAGAATACTGCAGTAATACTGCTGCTACTGTACTAATATACTACTACTGTACTAAAACTGCTACTGTACTCACTAATACTGCAGTACTGATCCTGGTACAGAGAATATATTTAAGAATAAAACACATTAGTAGTCAGACCTGATCCAGTTCTTCTGTCTCTCTTCAGAACTTCTTCCAGACTGAGATGCAGCAGCTGGGCTCGTTCTGTGAGGAGACCCTGACCATGTGAGTCTGGATCTGAGTCTGGATCTGAGTCTGATTCTGATCCTGGATCTGAGTCTGTTTCTGATCCTGGATCTGTTTCTGTTTTGTTTCCTCAGATTAAGGTCATTGGGTGGGGGTGAGTCGGGGGCGGGGCATCCATCCAGCCAATGAGGGAGGAGGAGAGCTCGTCCAATCAGGAGACTCCCTGAGGTTTAATTTGTTAAGATCCTGACCCTGTGGTTCAGGACTTCATTCAGATTCAGTTCTGATGTCTTTTTGTTTACCTTAAAGAACCGGTTCCAGGCTGGTTCTGTCTCTTTGTTTCAGCCTCGGAGCTTCTATAAATCCTGGTTCTGTAAAACGAGTCCACGTGTCTTTCATTAAAACTGTCCCTCACACCTGTAGACCTGAAACTGGACCTGAAGAGACCCGGTCCTCTGAGACCGGAGAACATTCATATAGAGCTTCTGGACTCTTGAGGTTCTGGTTCTTTAATACAAAGAGCTTCTGGACTCTTGAGGTTCTGGTTCCTCAGTCCGGTTTTTAAAGAGCTTCTGGACTCTTGAGGTTCTGGTTCTTTAATACAAAGCTGAACAAAGCAGCATCACTTCACTGGTCCTGCTCAGAACCATTCAGGATTTGGTTTCTAAATAATAGTTTTAGTTTAGATAAAGTTGCACAGTATTCCAGCTCATCATTACAGTTATTCCACAGATGAACACCTTTTGTTTTGATGCAATGAACGATGCATTTGAATACTTACGCTCACTTGAAAATGTCAGAAAAAGTGAAAGAATGGGAGATAAATATCCCCAAATCTCAAAATGGTATTATATGTTTTGTGTGTTTGTGGTCCTCTTTCAGTTGAGACACTGTAGGATGCTTCAGGAAAAGACCAAACACTGGATGTCTTTCAGTCGCCAACATGTGTTTTCGAGACACTGATATTAACGGGGAAACCCTGCAGGACTCAAATGCCTCGTCTCTGTGTGGGAGTGATTACCCATCAGCCCCGGGGCAGAGGAAAGGCAGCGTTACCCCCGGGTTGTGGTCAGATAATCCAAAAAGCAGCTGTTAAATAATACTGAAGTCACGTTGTAATAACAATAACTCATCTCTCTCGAATTTTCTTTTTGTGCTTTGCCAAAAGCCACTGTGTCAAGACTCAAGTGTCCTACTTGGGTTGCCGTCCGGAGTTGTCCAATAGAGTGGCGAAGTCAAGCCCATCTACTTCCGGTCTATGGGACCTTATTTTGGAAAAATTATGCATTGAAGTCAGCGAAAAGAGAAAACATATCTTTCGATCCTGTTTGAATTGTGTCATGAATTACACATATGATGTTTGTCAATCTTAAAAAATAATTTCCATGTCAAAAAAGTCACAGTAAAACTGTTGAAATATAAGACTATGAAAAATACGCAACTAGAAAGACTACAAATCCCAGAGTAAGTGATGTCATAACTGTTTTAAGCTAAGATCAGCGCCATATAGATATAATCCAGCGACGTGCAGTCAGGGGACGCAGAGCCTCACCTGTCATACTCCAACCAATGTAATGAAAAAACAACTAAAGAAAAACTAAATAGTAATAATAATAAAATGTCTCCACTGATCTGTGTTGTAAATGTGATTTCTGTTTGATTCCAATCGCTTTTTATAGTCAAAATCAGCAAATTTGCCGAGCTCCGCTACAACTACGGGTAGCGATGAGAAGTGAGGCAGGGACGAGCTCTGCCTCTCGTAAGCCCACAGTAACTGGCTGGAGCGCGGGCACTAATTTAACGCGTGCACTTATTTTGTGAGCGCGCTCAAGCCAGTTACTGTGGGGTAAGGTGAGGCACAGATGAGATCTGCCTCACCTCAGAATGCGTCACCCCACAGAAACTGGCTGGAAAGCGGGCCCTAAGCGCATGCCTGCACCATCTCACTGTATGTCACCAATGTAATGTTTGTAGATCCCTTTATTACATGTATCCTCGCCATCCATAGTCTCTAAATAACTTATTTCACGTATATATGATATTTAGGCTCGCTGGTCTCATCATACAACGGCAATGAAAAAAGCACCAGGGGAGGCAGCCATAACCTCTGCCGCACTGAAGGGGGCGCAAGTGAGCCCACAGGTCCTTGTTGCTACTGTTATTCTACGCAGAGACGGTAGACGCAAACAACAAACTAGACTTTTGAAACTAGAGGAAGATAAGGAGGACTTTTACAAAAAAGTAATCAGATTTAAAGATTTAAAAAGCTTTTGAAAATAACCGAATATTTCGATTACGTTCAAAATATAATATTTGTAAATCTGACTCTGAAATGGAATGGAACCACGCCAGACTATCCAAAACTGGACTTGGACGGGTCCAGCTCCCCCCCCCCCCCAGAATATATGGCACGTCCCTTTATAAGACGTTTTCGTATTTCCCACAATTAGAAGTTGACAGTATTAAACTATGTACACCCTGGAGGTTTAGGGGATACGAAACACAGTGGTGTTATCAAATGTAAAACATATAATTAATAAATGGGTGAAATAATATACCCACATGACACCTAAGGTCAGACGAGCTTTATTTAACAAACCCAGTCTCACAAAAAAACGTGTAATAACTACGTTGGTCCACAACGTAGGACGTAGTATTTCTACAAAAAGGCCTCTGAAATTGTAAGATCCCTACGTTTTTTTTCACCATTAAATCCAATGGCTATGTCATGTGATCTTCAAATTTCTCCGTGCAGAAAAAAAAAACATGGCCGAACTTCGTTTTATTCTCGGTGTAAAATGCCTATTTTAAAGTTAGTTTGGCCATTAAAATGCGTTTTGATGTCATTTGATAAGAGAAATATGAGTTGTTATTTCAGATTATGTGTGCAGTGGATGCACATGATCTTTAGTTTGCTAGTTATTACGAAGATTACTTCAGGAAATTGTGTCGATACAACGTTTCAATTGTTACCAAGGTGGTTGCTAGGATGCTGCTATCGATATTACAACAACAAAATCCGCATCTAAAATTGTGGCATAGATAGATACGTTATTTTCCCCTGTGCAATTCCAGTCTCACATCTCACATCGTCATAAACAAATACCGGAAACAGACCGAAAACACTTTATTCCGAGTATATGCTTGCTTTTCTCTTTGAAGGTCATCACATAACGGCATTGTCATACACGGTTTGGCTGCATTAAATATTACATATCTGCCGTAGTTCTCTATTTATAGAGCCCTGATGAGAAGACTTCTAGACAAACAGGAAGAACTGCCGCCAACACTGAAAACGTGACATGGATCATAAATATATCAGTCATTAAACAACGTCTTACATTTCTTTTCACACAATACGTTTCCTTGCAGTATCAACACTAATTCGGCTGACTTTTATATTTGATCCAATTGGTAGATAGGCTGTATTTACACCATAAAGGTGCACAGCTGATATAAAGGGACACCTAGTGGTTAAAGCATGTTATTGAATTTCATTATTTTTATTATTAGATATTAATAGGATCCCTATAAAGTATATTCATTACTCGTTATTCTCTACTAATAGTTAATTAAAGACTGTATATAATGACTATTTTGCACATCCCTTTCAAGATTTCAAGATTTTCTAAGGTTTATTGACATATCATATACACAACAATGGTGTAGTTATGCAATGAATGAAAAACTTTGTGTATACCTCCAGCAATGTTAACTATGTTGAAGCACTTATTTTAACTGATATTATACATATGTATTATACTCTTATAAGATGTATGTAGATAGTATAAGAAATGTGCAGAATACGACGTTTACGTTTAATGGTGGAGGTATACACACGTCGGTCTCCTGTCCTTTCTGAAAGCCATAAAGATGACATTAGTCATTTAGATAACTTGTGTCCTCAATTACCATGGGATTACTGAAACTACCATGAATTTAAGAAAATGGTAGAAATTAATCTAATCTGAATTTTAAAGCATTACTTTAGATCCCCTCCCTCTAAATATATCAATAAACATTAGAAAGAAAGAAAACCTATCTCTTCGTCAGATGCACTCCCCCACTTATCTAAGCGACTCTGTACCCGGTTACCCTGAATTCATTGTTTTTTTGTTTTCGTTTTATTTTTGGGTTATCTTTCTTTTTATACTTCTTTAACTGTAACTTTTATTATCTTTGCTTTTTAATGCCATTCCAATGTCTTTCATTTTTCAGCACTTTTGAACTGCCTAGTCAGTTAGTCAGTCATAAAGTCAGTATTGGGGTTACAGTCCCCTACGTGTGCCGTTTTGGTTTCAAGACCCTGGTTCACGGAGGATACCAAAAAAGTCCTAGAAAGACAAGGTAAACTTAACTATGTGCATTTAAAAATAAAAAAGAGAAATCGTTTCGGCGAAAACTAAAAGGTACCATGGGGTCAGATTAGAGTTTTCCAAACGGGGGTTCGTTTAGCAAGAAACACTTGAAATAACTAAAGGACAAGTTAAACAAGAAAGCAGAAAGAACGTGAGGACCTAAACATTTCAGATGTGTGTAACTTTAATTCATGTATCTTTGCATTTAAATGAGTGTTTCTAGATATCATTTTATAATATGTTTATTGCCTCGCCTCGCCTTGCCTTTATGTTTGCACCATGTACACTAAGACAAATGGCTCGTATGTGTAAACCTGCTTCTGATTCTGATAATGCAACATTTATTTCAACCAAACACGAGGAAAATGTATCTTAAAACTATTTTTCTTGTTGATTAATTCAAAATTAAATAGCTTCTTATCTACACAAATATATACATCTTCCAGATGATTACATGGAATATTTTATAATTCACAATTATTTATTATTTAAAGTGCATTTCTATATCAATGAAAAGTCCCTGTTGCTCGTAACTTGAATTAAAAACGACCTGGCATTTCAGTTTCCGAGAGTTGACATGTAGTTAACAAAACTTGACTTCTGTACAACCATGTAACAGTTGTTGCTAACGCTAGCTGTCGGGCTAACTGTCATAACGGTTTTAATGTTATGTTATTCCATGGCAGTGGAGACAAGAAGCGTTCTTCATAAATATCAGAGGTTGGAAGAAGTACTCAGATCTGGTACTTAAAAGTATGGTTACCAGAGTGTAGGAATACTCTGTTACAAGTTAAAGTCCCGCAATCAAAATATTACCAAAAGTACAACAATATATCATTTTATTGTGGACTTTTATAATAACATAAATAGGGATTATGAGGAGAAATGTATGGTTCAGTAGCTTTTTGGTCGATTATCTCACTTGTGGTGCATGCCACATTTAGATTAAGACATAACTATTGAGTTATAATTCCCTATTTTAAAAGGTGCTCAGACTGATAAGCCGTCAGGTGTACAAGAGACTGGATTGTATATGTTTTTTTTATTTAAAAGGGAAGGAACATGTATTGCTATAACCCTCTGCACCTTTCTGGCCTCTCTCTGCACTTCACATCATCCAAACGCAGCACTGTGATCTCCTCCGCAGTTACAATATTTAACCTTTGCATCCTTTTCACATTTTCCATACTCATGTTGTCCTCCGCATCTCGCACACCTTAGCTGTCCTTTACACTGCTGCACTGTGTAATCATGTAATTCCATCTCTAATAAAACAAAATAGCAAAAATAAGAAACCATAAAATAAATAAAACAAAACAATCATCTATGATCTATTCTAACCTATTGTTAGATTATTTTTCCTACCCCAGTTTCTCTCAGAAAGGTAAACAGTGCCTTTCTGGTAGCTCTCACTCCTTCTGTTCCCAGAACACACTCCCTCTCTGCCTCTATCAGTTTATCCTTTAGTTTTTCTCTTTCAGCTTTATAGATGTCACAATGTAACAAGATATGTTCCACATTTCCCTTACCTCCACAGTTCCCACACTTGTCACTGTCACTTTTCCCCATGACATACAGCGTACCATTCAATGCTGTGTGATTTAGTCTGAGTCTAGCTATCATGATTTCCTCCCTTCTGTTTCTTTCTTTATAAAGATTAATTGTGATTGTCTTTTGAACTTTATGATACTCTTTGCCTTTCTGGTCGTTCTCCCACCTTTTCTGCCAGATCTCCATCCCTTTCTTCTTAATGACTGCTTTTCCTTCTCCTTTTCCAAGTTGAACTGGTAATGTTATTTCCTTTTGTAATGCACTTTTTGCTCATTTATCAGCACACTCATTCCCTTTCACCCCCTCATGCACACTCGTTCCCTTTCACCCCCTCATGTGCAGGCACCCAGCAGAACTGTAGATCTATACCGCCTCTGTGAAGTCTTAACAGGCTATGATTCAGTTCTATGAGAATGTCTTCTCTGACAGTTGTTATTGACTGTATGCTTTTTAATATGGACAATGAATCTGTGCATATCACCACCCTATCTGGTCTGACCTCTTCAACCCACTGTAATCCTATTATTACTGCCAGCTTTTCTGCTGTGTACACTGATAATTGATCTGACGCTCTTTTTGAGATCGATATTTTAAAGTCTGGGATATATATTATGCCAACTCCAACACACTCTTCCTTGTTCTTAGAACCATCTCTGTACATTGTGAGGTAATTGTAATACTTTTCGTTTAGGTACGCGTTTGAATTCCCACTTCATTTATTTGCCACTCTTTTTTCCTTTCTATGATACTCACATCTATTTTAGCTTCTGGGAACAGCCATAGGGGAACACTGCTAAATGGGCTTGCTTTGGCAAACGTGATGGTCTCCACTCCATATGCCCTCGTTCTCTCCTTACTCTTCCAGCCAAACTTTGTATATTCCCAGCAATCCTGCAGTATTCTGTTTGTGATATTTTCCTCTCCTTTTCCTTGTAGCACGACCCAGTATGACAGAGCAAGTTTCTCTCTTCTGATCTCCAGAGGTGTCTCTCCTGCTTCTATCAGAACTGCATTAATAGGGGATGACTTTATCGTTCCAATACCGGACGTTGCCTTACCGTCTACTACTGGATAAATAATAAAACCACCCTTTCCAAAACAAACTATTATAACTAGCAGAAAATACTCATATAGGAAAAAGGGAAAATAAATAAACATCATTAAGCTAAACAGGTCGCAGGTACACAAATCAAATATCTGTATAGCAATTACAAATGTTTGGCATATCTGAAGCTCATGTTCTTGCAGGATTCGTGCTGTTCGGAGTTTGCATCGTCATGGTTGATTGACTTATTGTAAGCTGCAGAGGTTGAATAAGTACTCTGATCTTGTACTTGAGTAAAAGTAGAAGTACTCAGACCTTGTACTTGAGTAAAAGTAGAAGTAAAAGTACTCAGATCTTGTAGTTGAGTAAAAGTAGAAGTACTCATACCTTGTACTTGAGTAAGTAAGTACCAGAGTGTAGGAATACTCTGCTACAGTAAAAGTGCTGCATTCAAGATGTTACTGAAGTAAAAGTACAAAAGTATTATGTAGTGGTAATTTCTTATGTTACCTTATATGGTAAAACCAAATGCTTCTAAAAGCACTGTCTAACACTACTGTACCATTTCTTGATATGTGCTGTTTTCTGTGCATACTCTAATGAGGGTTATTATTCTTAAGCGCTTCAAGGCCACAGAGCTGATTTGGCAGACTATGTTGAAACTACTCCTCTTCACACAAAGTTTGAACTTCCATATTCTGATAACCGTTATACTTTCTACATCTCAAGGACACAGGTGTCTAATAGCGATATGAGACATCCGTGTGAAAGCAGATTTCTGAGGCGTTCCGCCTAGCTACACAAAACTCTGTCTGCCCGCCCTATCTTGTATATAAGCTTTGCTATTCTGTGACTATTGCGCACACTCCTGCAGACTATCCTATACTCTGTGAGACCTGTACCTGTGAAGCTTCAAATAAATAACCAACAAGACAACACTGTTTGCTTTCACCAGTTTATTATTGATTACTCTCATTGTACATCTTTACAGTATTAACGAGTTTAAAATATCCATGACAATTATCATCAAAATATAGTTAAAGTACCAAAAGTAAAAGTATTCAATATGCAGATCGACCCATTTCAAAATAATATATATGATACGTTTTGATTATAATCATTGATGCATTCATGTGTTTATCACATTGAAATGTTGGACTTATTTGTTTTGTGTTGATCATTTCTACACACTGTGGTATTACTATTTTTATTTAAGTTAAAGTGCTGAATACTTTGTCCTTAGGTCGTCAAATTATACTTATATTTGTAAAAGTATCAGAAAAACGTATTATGTTATACTTTACAATTATAAATCGTAATCCTTTAATGCTCAAATGTTGCCTCTGATAAATAGGAAGCAAGTGTACCTTTATATACTGCAGGGTAACTTGTACATTTCCCATAGGGGCCAATACAGCTCTATAATTATACATGAACAGTTATTTGATTATAAGTATAAAGTAGCAGGAAAAGTAAATGACCTAAAAAAATGTCAGTAACTGAGTAAATGTACTTAGTTACTATCCACCACCACTGCTGCTTTAGGATATAAACAGCTGTTATGAAATTGTTCAGTAGGTGTCATGAAGTGGACGTGATATCTATTTATAAATGGGGAAGAAGACTAAGAGGGAAGGAGCCCGTCACACACTGTTCGTTTGTTTATACCTTTCATTTTCTTGAAACTAAGGCAAAGCACATTTCAGCATCAAAGAGTACAAGTTATTTTCTTAAGACAAAATGTCAACAAAAACTATTGCACAGTTTTTTAAGAATAATATACTGAGATCAAACAGCTTCTTAAGATAAGCACAAAATAAAATCTCCACAAAGGGAAACAGCATGTGGGACGTTCATTCCTTCAGAAGAGGGCACTGTGTTGATTTAAAATGGCATAACGGGTGGCATAAAAAAACAGATCTTCTTTAAATAGTGGCATTAATAATATGTTTGAACTTACTGGAATGTATTCAACAGCAGTAAGAAAGCTTTCTGCAGCATCAGTGTTACATCTCAGGAGCTGCGGCGCTCTCTAGTGGACAGTTGTGACACCAGAGAGAGAAATGGCAGAGCTGCAGGGATATGACCTTAAAAATAGAAATAGAACATATGTACAAATGCTGAGACACCAGAAGTGAGAGTGGAAGTGGAAGAGTCTATACATTCATTATTTCTTTTAGAAATTGATTGCCATAATGAAGCAAATGTTGTGCTGCAAAAAAGTGAGTGAATTGCTTAAAAAGATACAGCTTTGACCAGACGTATCGCTCTGTTGGCGTCATTTGGACAACAAAAACAGAGTGAAACTCTCATTTCATGAACATTTTTGAGTCCAGACACCGTCTTGCAGAGAGCAGACAACCCAACAGAAACAGAAAACATTTGCATTGAGAGACTAAGACTAGCTGGTCCATTGTAAAGGTCAGTCCACCTTAAATGAGCAGTGGGTGATGAGCAGGTGAAAGGCAGGACACGGGAACTTGGTCCTGAGGAGATGTAACGATTATTAAACAAGAAATAGCAGAGTTAAGGGTTCAAAGAAATGAACATTTGTGATTATTAGCGAAATCGGTTGCAGGTGGGTGAAATCAGGCTTAGGGAGTAACGTATTACATGTAACGGCATTAGGTCATTAGGATACAAAATAGGCAAATGTATTCCCTTACAGTTACAGAAGCAAAACCAATCAGATAATAGGTATATTTATGTAAAACAGGGCTCACTAACAGGATAGCAATGATACAAAACATTTAGAAATAAAGAACAATACATCGAATCATCCTATATCTCTATATGGAAACTTGGAGCCTTCAATCAAAAAGAAAATGGTTCATCAACAGTCAGTGGTTAACGTATACATCAGAAAATCAGTATGACAAAAACATTAAACATATTGTCCACTTATGTTGATAAAGATGGAGTTCATTTAAGTCTTATATGGATGTTGTACAACAATGTTAATCCAGTCAGGCAGATTTTTCTCATGTGTGAACCAAGCCCCCAGGAAGTGCAGCGGACGCTGTGCCCAATATTTGTTGTGTCCAAACAGCAGTACTGCAACTTCCGTATCAGTCCGTGACGTTACCCGGCCCAAAACAACTTTTTCCCATTAACTAACATGGGGAAAGAGACCTCTGTAAATCGGTGGAAGTTTTTTTTTTAAAATAAATAAACTACCCAGTGAACTATTTGATAGCCCTTATTAGAATCATTCGGTCCTTAAAGTTGTAAAATGCACTAAAAGCCAAATCTAGATTTATTTTCTCTCTTCATTCATTCATTCTAGTGAGCCGAGAGTGGGAGCTCGGGGGGCGGGGCTTAAGGGGCAACTCGACTGCGCATGCTCTATGAGCGCACATATGGGTACTTCTGCTCTGACAGCCAGGCATGACGGGTAATCTGTGATGTTTCGCTCTCTCAAAAGGTGGGCCCTTTTGCCTTCATTTGCCAATGAGCAGCTCTCATAGGAAAGAACAAGACTCCGTCTCCGACGCTGTATCCAGTTCTTATTATACATCCATGGTGTGAAATGTCATAAGACTTATTCATTGTCCTCTCCATCAGCTTCTGTTTCCATGTGTTCAGCTGAGCTGCTGATTGGAGGTTCTGCCTCTCTGTTATCCTCAGTTTGAATTTCATTAAGCCATGTGGACTGACGACCAACACACTTGTGTCTTTTCAAACGATTACGCCATTTAAATTTTTTGTCACAAACATTGCAGCTGTATATTTCCTCTCCTGTGTGGATTCTCATGTGTATCTTTAAACCTCCACCCTGTGAAAAAGCTTTCTTACAGACTGAGCATCTGTATGGTTTCTCTCCTGTGTGGATTCTCATGTGTTTCTTTAAATTTCCACTCTGTGAAAAAGCTTTCTTACAGACTGAGCATCTGTATGGTTGCTCTCCTGTGTGGATTCTCATGTGTTTTTTTAAATTTTCACTCAATGCAAAATATTTAGTACAAACTGAGCAGCTAAAGGGTTTCTCTCCTGTGTGGATTCTCATGTGTAGGTTTACATCTCTTGCATATGTAAAATATTTCGTACACACGGAGCAGCCAAATTGTTTCTTTACAGCACTACAGCTTGAAACACTGACAGACTCTTGTCTGTTTGTCAGTGAGTTTGAGCCTGACGCAGGTTCTCTGGTCTCCTTCCAATCAGCACTGTGTTCAGTGTCAGGTTCAGAAGAGTCTCCAGTGTCAGGTTCAGAAGAGTCTCCAGTGTCAGGTTCATAAAAGTCTCCAGTGTCAGGTTCATAAAAGTCTCCAGTGTCAGGTTCAGAAGAGTCTCCAGTGTCAGGTTCAGAAGAGTCTCCAGTGTCAGGTTCAGAAGAGTCTCCAGTGTCGTCCTCAGTCTTTGGTTGTAAACTGCTCTCTGGATCTGAGTTCCTGGCTGGTTCTGGTCCTCGACAGTCATCTCCATCAGCTTCTGTTTTCATGTGTTCAGTTTGTCTTTGATGAGGCTGAGAGGACTGAGGTTTCTCTTCATCATCTTCACTCTTCACAGGGTCAGGAGTGAAAGTGGACTTGGTGATATCAGCCTCCTCCAGCTCCTGAAGCTGCTCTCCCTCCTGACTGATCCTGAGTTCCTCCTGTTCCTGCTTAATGTGGTGGGGGGGCTCTGGGTCCTCCTGGTCCAGATTGGTAATCCACTCCTGCTGGTCAGGGAGAACCTCTTCTTTAACCTCCACCAGCAGCTGGACGTCTGCAGGAAACAGGAAACACACAGTAATAAAAAACTGTTAAGTGTTAGCATTTACAAATCTTATCACCATTACAATGGGAGACATTTTGCAGCCCTAATTAATGCCTTTGTGTTTATACTTTCATATTGTGAAGTCAACTTGGAAAATCCTCACAGGAGATCAAGGGGTTAAAAAGTCAGGCTGATTGACAGAATGGCAGCTGTCTGAAATCATTCCCTAATTGTTAATCAGCGTCGCTGCACCTTTAAAAGCAACGCACGCTGAATGAGGTTGGAGAGCTACTTAGAAACATACTTTGGCAAAAGTTTGGAGATGAACTGTGCACAGCTGTAGAACTAGCAGAAGATGAGTGTGAGCGTGTCGCTCGAGTACGTCCTGATGGCAACCATGAGGCCTATGAATTCATGCTCAGCCATCTGAAGTCACTGGTGGGGACCGCAAAGGAAGCTCATTGCAAGTGGCAGCAGTGGGTTCCAGTGGAAAACCAGAAGGAGTTCCGCAATCGGTTGAGAGTAATCGAACGGGAAGCAATCAGTCTGGTTACCAGAAAGGCTGAGTTCATCATGGCGAGACGACAGCAAGACACAAGGTCAGGATCAACAAGTACTGCCAGTCATCCCATCTTTACCCCAACCGTTAGGCTAAAACCCACAGCTCTCCCCAGATTCTCTGGCTACAAGCGTGATTTTCACAGGTGGAGAAGAGACTATGAGTCGCTCCAAAAACAGGGAGAACCAACAGGCTCCCAAGAAGTGAACAATATACAGTTGCTAGATAGTCTCGATGACAGGATCAAGAAAGACTTTCACCTCACTACTTATAACACCGCAGATGAAATTATCTGTGTCTTGGAGAACCGCTATGGCAATCGAACGGCTATTGCCATTGAAATAGTGGAAGACACTCTGGGACCCGAGTGACCTCGGAGACAAAGGCGCCATAAAGAATCCTCTCATAACAAAATCGATAGAGAGTAAACTCCCTGAGTCCCTCAAAAAAGAGTGGCTTGTATATGTAGCCGATCCAAAAAATGGTGTGAGGCCAGATAAAAGGTTTGATTATCTCTTGGAGTTTCTCAAGCAGCAAGAGACTATCTAGGAGGAGCTCGAGCAGCTACGAGATGAGGAGCCAAGTAAACCAAGTAAGCCGAGTTGGAAAGACACCAGAATTGAGCAGAAAAGTGCCAGAACCAAGTCTACAAAGTCAGCTGATAACCAAGGCTGTGTAGTCTGCGGCGATGTCAAACACAAGAAGAAGCTCTACTTCTGCAAGCAGTTCAGGGCTCTGAGTGCAGCAGAAAGGAAGGCTTCAGTAAAGAAGTTGGGTGCGTGTACAAGATGCCTTGAGGTTCACGATGACCAGTCATCCTGCAAACCTGGCTTTCTATGCAGAAACGAGGACTGCAGAGATGGAGAGGCTGAGCATCACTACTACCTCTGTCCCAAATCTGTGTCAAAGAGGTCTGGTGACAAATCTGAAAAGGATAAAGGCAAAAAGAAGTACACTGAGGGTCAAGAAGATTTCAACAAAAATCTCCCACCAGACCTAGCAAAGCAGTGTAGGGAGGTTTTCTCAAATGTTGCCTCCAGAGTCTCAAATGACCAACAAAGTCTACTTGAAAAGAGTGGAATACAAGAGCTTCCAGTGATCATGATGCTACTCGTCGTCACAGCTAACGCCGGACAGAAAGTCGGAACACTCATCGACTTAGCATCTGACACAAATTACATCACTCACAGAGCGGCGAGCCGCCTGGATCTCAAGAGTGAAGATATCATGCTTGTTGTACATGGAGTTGGCGGAATGAAGATTCAAGTAAAGACAAAGCGCTATCTCCTCAAAATCCGTGTATCCACCCCCAAGGGCACACTGAGAGCACATACATTGGTTTGCTATGGGCTTGACAACATTGCAGACGTCCACAAAAGTGTGACACCTAAGCAACTGCAGCCATTCTTCCCAGACGTACCTCTTGATGAGCTTGTGAGGCCCAAAGAAGTCCAGCTTCTCATTAGCCACAGAGAAGGCCAGTTAGCTCCTCAGAGGATCAGAGTCGTGGGAGACCTCGTACTGTGGGACGGACCACTCGGGAAAACAGTTGGAGGAACCCACCCCAGACTGTTTGAGGAGGTTGAAGTGTCAGCCCACATGTCAAAGACGCACTTTGCGAGATCAATGAGAGCAGCAGCTGTGAAATATGAAGAGCTCACTAACCCCATTCCAGAACAAAACCCCTCAAGCAAAGAAGCAGCTGAAATACAGGGATCAACTGTTTCGACCAGCAAAGAGAGTTTCCTGAAATGGTGGCAATGGGACAGCATTGACGCAGCATGCAAGCCCAGATGTGGAGGCTGCCGGTGCAGAAACTGCCAGCCCGGTGGTAAAGAAATGACCCTTGCCGAGGAAAGGGAGCTTGAGGTGGTAAAGGATGGACTCACCTATGCCATGAGCGATGATCACAGCAGAGAACCACATTGGCATTAGTGCATCTTCACTGGTCTCACGATTCGATTACGATTATCCTGTCAACGATTCGATTCAATTCGATATCCCGATGCATCACGATTCATACCAATGCGTTGCATCCTCAATTTTCTATATTAGTGCACATGGCTTATTTTCCATCAATGCATACATGCAGTAAATACATATGAACTCTCTTTTTATTATTTAGAAAGTGCTTCAGAAATCAATAACATAAATGTCTTGACATTCATGTATAAACCAAAATAAATTAATTGTATAGGTCTAGCCTCCCTATATCTGTGTGTGAAGTTGTTCCATCCTCAAAAACAAAAAAATAATGCTTTTGCAGTCTAGCTGCAGCTTCTAGCAACAGTCTTCTGTTAAAAAAAGGACACTGAATGTCCTGAATGTGGCATCACACACAGGACTTGAGTCTGAACACAGCAGACAACAGGAGTATTTACAATAGCATATACAAACAAAAATACTGCATGTGGGTGCACACTTACATTCTCTGTCTTACCGTTACATAAATCCCATGAATGTATGAGATTAAATTAGCTTCATTATATCTCAGTGATTAAGTGAATAATAAAGTTTCTATCGGGTCACTATCAGCCTGTCACTCATTATTTTCAGGGAGGGGGCGGGGTTTGGAGAAACGGAGAGGAGACGGTGATCGCGGAAGCTTCTTTCCTCCAAGCTTCATTGGAAAGCCTTGGGCAATAACATTCTCCGATGGAAGCGAGCATGCCTACGATGCTGTGATGTACCTCCGGTGGAACACCGACCAAGGCTCATTTGTCACTCTGGTGGAGTCCAAGGCAAAACTAACTCCTTTAGACCACAAAGGTGATGCTGTCAAGGCAGAGATGTGCGGAGCAGTGTTTGCGTCACGTCTCAAAAAATACTTCGAGCAGCACAGCAAGATCCAAGTTGGAAAGTGGTTCCATGTGATTGATAGCCAAACAGTCCTCGGTGCAATCCAGAGAGAGAGCTATGGTTATCAGACCTTCTTCGCAAACAGAATCGGAGAGATCCAGAACACAACAGCGATCCAAGATTGGTGGTGGGTTCCTGGTCCTCTTAATATTGCTGACATCATAACCAGAGAGGCCAGTCCTCAAGAACTGGATGAAAGTTCAGAATGGCAGAACGGACCAACGTTCTTGAAGTTACCAGTGGATGAATGGCCAATGAAATCTGCCAAAGATTTGGTGACAGCTGCCAGAGACAGTGTCAACAGATTGCAAAATAAAACGTTTGTTGCAGCACTAACCAGAGCCAAGGCCAAGGCACAAGTATCATCAGATCCAAACGATGCCAACACACAAAACCCATCAGAGCTAAAGCTAGATCAGCAACAAACCCAAACACACCCAAAAAGGCCACCAGCAGGATCAGCTGTCCTAAACCTTGTGAACGTCAAGCGGTTCAGCAACCTAAATCGACTCGTCAAGACAGTTGCTTGGATTTGGAGAGCAGCGAAGAAGTTCATTGGAGGGAAACAGCAAACTGCAAACAGTCCAAAGTGGGAGGCAGTGTCGTCTTCGCAAGTCATCTCAGTGAAAGAGAGAGAAGATGCCCTAAGAGACATCTTTCTTGCGGCACAGCAAGGTGACTCTTTCCCAAGTACAACCACAGACAGGCTGGTGGTGTACAGAAACCAAGAGACTGGCTTGTTGGTCTGTGGGGGTCGCGTGCAGATCTTCAATGAAGATACAGTTGCTGTCCCTATCTTGTCGTATGAAGCCTGGGTATCAACGCTGTTAGCACGAGAAGCCCACGAGGAGAACCACGATGGAGTGGCCGGAACCTTGCTCAAGATGAGAAGGAGAGCATGGGTCGTGAAGGGTCGGAGGATTGCTCAGAAAGTGGTCAAAAACTGCATGCTCTGCAGAAAAACTAAAGCAAAAAGATGCCAGCAAATAATGGGTGATCTACCTCCAGAGAGGACAGAACCAGCTGCCCCCTTTGAATACACAACAGTAGACCTCTTCGGACCGTACCAGGTCAAGGATGATGTCAAGAAAAGAGTGTCAGAGTTTTGTTGCATGGCTTCCAGAGCTATTCACACAGAGCTGGTGAACTCTCAATCCACTGAAAGTTTCCTGTTCGCCTACCAGAGGTTCACAGCACTACGAGGTCATCTAAAGAAGATCTGGTCAGATCCAGGTACTAACTTCGTAGGGGCTAAGCCAGTCCTAGAAGAACAGTACAGATTCCTTGCCAATCTTGCCAAATCTACACTAGAAGAGAGATCTGCCAAGAATGGCACAGAATGGACATGGAAAATTCATCCAGCCGATTCTCCACACCGGAACGGTGCTGCAGAAGCTGCTGTGCGCATCATCAAGAGAGCACTGCAGAGTCTGGGAGGAGAGTCGGGGCTAAGTTGGAGTGAATTCCAAACAACTCTCTACATGGCAGCCAATCTTACGAATGAAAGACCAATTGACGCCAGAACACAGAGCCGAGAAGACAGCGTTCAGTTCATCACTCCTAACTGTCTCCTGCTCGGACGAGCATGGCAGAGTGGAGATGTCAGAACATTTGACTTCAGTGAC